AGGGACCATACTCATAAGTGAAATAAATCAGACCTGCATGTGCAAGCACCGCATTGTCTCACTAGTGTAAACCCTGAAAGAGTTAATAAAAACTTGGAGGTATGACAGACATTGTGAAATGAAAGGAAAATGCTGAAGAGTAAAGGGCAACTGGGATGTGGGAAAAGAGAAGGTAAAGAAGGAGAAATTTTATATGTATGTATGTATAGGATAGTGAACATAGTTGATCTACTGTCTTCTATTTCTTTGTTGAGAGAAACAGTTAATGAGTCCTTGATTGATCAATATTGCATGTCTCTATTTGTTTTCATGAGAAACCACTTTGAAGATATCAATATGTAATACAACAAGCATTGTTAATTTCCTATCACTTTGTTTGTAACTCTGTATTGTTTGTATTGTTCTTTTGCTATTTTGTAAATGATTGCCTCTGTTAACGTTTTCGTCCTTTTCTTTTTAAAATAAAATTTAAAAAAATAAAGTTTTAAATAATCTCACCACTAACCCTTTACCCATGAACCAAATTCAAAGGCAAAATTCAATACTGACTCTATTTTAATTTTCCAGTGACTTTTAAATTAATTTCTAAAGAACCTAAGGTCCCTTTGGACTAATTATGATAGCATTTATAGCAAACCAAAATACTTGAGTCATATATTAAATTCAGCTAGTAATACACTGTTACTTTAAAACATATAAAAACCTATAAACAAGATGTTAGGATATACACAAAGGACAGTAACATACAAGGACAGAAGATACTAAAGCATGATGTTTTGATAGCTGTATTAACAGAGAAAACAGTAGCAATGTAGCACAGTAGAAACACTAGAATGGGAGTTAGGAGATCTGACTTTTCTGCATTCTAGCTCTGACATTTGAGAAAATCTCTTTAATCACACTGTACCTGTTTCCTCAACTGAAAAAAAGAGGATATTTAGGGTGTAAGATACCTTGTGTGAATTTGGATGAGAGAAGGTAAAAAGGTTCTTTCCAAATAGAAAAAAATTGAGCAGGTGTTGTTTTGTATGAACATTTCCCACTCCCAACCCAGAACCAATGAACTGGGCAGAAGAAAGAAAACATTTACACTAAAGAAAAATTGCTTTGACTATTAAGGTCAGAGCCGGGCGTGGTGGCGCACACCTGTAATCCCAGCACTGGGGAGGCTGAGGCAGGAGGACTGTTGCAAGTTTGAGACCAACCTGGGCTACAAAGTGAGCTCAAGGCCAGCCTGAACTGCATAGCGAGACCCTGTCTCAAAAAGACAAAAAAAAAAAAAGACTATTAAGGTCAGACACACCTTAATGAAGGTGTCTTAATGTAATTAAGCTACTTAATGTAATTTATAAGACAGGTACAAAATGAAGACCGCATAAATAAGGCTTTATCATAGATAAGTAAACCTTTAGGCAATGAAATAGACTAATCTCTTAAAATGCCTTCAGGCAACATTATTTAAATTATTATCTATTCTTCTAAATAAAAATGCTAAAATGGTTCCATATATTTGGTGAAAAAAAATCTATCACTTTATTTGTAAAGACATGTGGTAACTGATTATTTTCAGCAATATGCAGACAGAAACTTTTGACTCGGTATAAACACAGGAAAGGTCTATTTCATAATCTTACCAGATTGATGTTCTAAGAAAAAGAGTAAAAGTAAAGAACTGTAACTGACTCAAAAGATAAACCAACTCAAATCCTGAAAGGCAAATTAACAGCAAACACACGACAAAGGTATTCCTTCAACATACCAAATCTGCCACTGAGCGCCACATTCAATAAAATGTCAATTGCTTCTGGGGCTAACCCATTTTTCCAAGCTACATTTTCCACAGTTTCCAAGTGTTTTTCCAAAATTTTATCTTTACTCCGTGAAGTTTTAATGGGACCTGGAAAAAGGAACAATATTAAATAGTGAGACTTTTAAACATCTTTCAGTTCTCAGCCTCAACAATTACAACGTAGGATTCTCTGATGGAATAGTTTTATGTAAAAAGTATCTTCATAATAAAATGAATCTGATGCTGTCAAAGGGGGGGAGTGGGGAAGGGAAAAAAAATTGAGATGTGTTATGTACATGTACTAACTTCCCACGATGAATGTAATTATTATGTGCTGTAAACATGTACCAGTAAAAAACTTCTATAAACTTCCTAAAAACCCTTGAAAGTCTTTAAAACTCTAGAATATTTAATATCAATAGTACTTTCAGTGAGGAAAACTGAATCATGATCTAGCTTCCTTACTCTAAGCTACAAGCATTCCATTTCTAGGTGTGTCCAGATGTGGCCCAAAGGCTACTTGCTTTCTTTTTTTCTTTTAATGTTACAATAACAAATACAAAAAAGAAAACTTTGTTACTTATATACATTAACTATATTATGCATTTTATATGCAGCCAAAACAATTCCTCTTCACTAAATGTGGCTCAGGCAAGCCTTTGGATACATTTTGTATGTTCTTTTTCAATACTAGGACAGTGGTTCCCAAACTTTGCTGTATATTGATTGGGATCACCTAGGAAGCCTTTAAAAAGTTCCAGTACCAGCCTGAATCCAATACCAAAAGAATAAGAATGTCTAAGAGTGGAGGCATTGGTATGTTTCAAAGATTCTTAAGTGGGGCTGGGGATTTAGCTCAGCGGCAAAGCGCCTGCCTGGCAAGCGCAAGGTCGTGAGTTCGGTTCCTGGTACCGGAGAAAAACCAAAAAACCAAAAAAAAAAAAAAAAGATTCTTAAGTGATCACTCTATGTGGCAGTTTGGCAACCTCTACAGGGAAGATGTTTTCTGGTTGTGTCTATAGTACCTTGCATACTGATACGTAGTAACTGCCCAACAAATGTCTATTAAGTAAAAAAAGCTTAAGTGAGCAAAAATACACTTACCTTTTAAAAATTTTAAGGAAAAGACCAGAATATTTTTATGAAAATAAAAATTTCATAAGGAAAACAATGTACCTTTACCTTTCTCAAAGTATTCCACCGCTACTTGCAGAGTGTCATCCACATGTTCATGAGCTTCCACTGGACTGTTTTGTTTCCAGTTGATCTTTGAGTCACTTGGTTTCTGTTTTACTTTCCAGGCTGAGAGACTGGTTTGTAAAGTATTCCTAACTTGCGAAGTTCTATCTGGTGCCTGGGAATTCTTAACTCTCTTTTGAGGCAACATTACTGTGTATATTCTATACAGAAACATATGTCAAATTATCATCAGCCAAATAGTCCTCTTTTTTCCTCCACAAAGACAGGGATCATATCTGCCTGCATTCCTGCATTTAGTACATGGTACCTAGCATACAGCAGGTATGCAGTAAATAAGTTAACTATCTGGGAAACAAAACCTATAGGATAGCTTTTCAGAAAGCCCTTGACTTAAATACAAATAGCAACAACTTGCCAAGGTAACATTTACCAGCTGAACCTTGGCCAATATAATTTGTTTCTTAAAATGACTACATTATGTAAGCTAGTCCAAAACCAATTCATCTCCATGAACTCAATCTTACATTCTTTACTCTTATTTTCTCCATCCCTCCTTGGTTTTGCTTTTAATCTTTATGGTCTGCCCTTTGTCAGTGCTAAGTTAAAATTCCATAGTTAAAAAGTCAAACTGGTGGCCTGACTAAACATTCTCAGGACACAAATATTCTCCAGGTATTAATTCAAGTATTCAATAAATAGCTACTTAATGTAATTTATATGACAGGTACAATTGTAGCTATCAGAGATAAAAATAAAACAGTCAAGGCCCCTACATGAGGTGAGGGAAGCAAAGGTGGGGAGTAACAGATAATAAGTACTAATATTGAATATAGTGATGTGATAGAAATGGAATGAAGTAGGAATCTGCTTTGAAATATGTGTGCAAAGAAAGTCTCTCTGAGATGACCTTCACACTGAGATTTCACTGCCAAGAAGGAACCTACCATGTGAAGATCTGGTGGAAGGATGTTCCATGGGGAGGGAATGGGAAGAAATACTAAGACGTTAAAACAAGAGCTTTGTGTGTTAAAGAAACAGGTGGAGAGAACAGAACGAAAGAGGTAAAGGGCAGCGAAAGATAATGTTAAAATAAGGCAGGCAGAGGGGCTGGGGATTTAGCTCAGCGGCAAAAGCGCCTGCCTGGCAAGCGCAAGGTTGTGAGTTCGGTTCCTGGTACCGGAG